TCATTCAAAGAAAACCCTCTTCACCTCTCACCCTTGCCAGAAGATCCCGACATACTGTTAAGCTGGTTTACACTTAGCTGCACTGGGGTCCGAACGCAATCACGGTTACATTAAGACACCTTGGAGGCAGAGTGAGATATGGTTCGGAAAACTTAGGGATGGGATATGCCACTGTAATTTTACCAGAACAATGTGTGTAATTGTGGGCTATTCTTTTGGTGCTTAAATCAGTCGTTTTTGATAACTTCATTTTATGTGAAGTCTGAGCTCCAGTCCACCCACACTAGTCGCCGCTCAACTCCATTGAAAATCGTTGAGTTTAATCCGCTACCCTCACCCCAACCTCCCACAACATAAAATAATAACCGAAAGGTCGCTGGTTCTAATCCCCGAGCCGACTAGGTGAAAAATCTGTCGATGTGCCCTTGAGCAAGGCACTTAACCCTAATAGCTCCTGTAAGTCGCTCTGGATAAGAGCGTCTGCTAAATGACTAAAATTTAAAAATTTAAAATGATACAATTACAAGGGGCATAGCTACAGTGGCTTGCGAAAGTATTCACCCCCCTTGGCATTTTTCCTATTTTGTTGCCTTACAACCTGGAATTTAAATGGATTTTTTGGGGGTTTGTATCATTTGATTTACACAACATGCCTACCACTTTGAAGATGCAAAATATTTTTTGGGGGAAACAAATAAGAAATAAGACAAAAAAACAGAACTTGAGCGTGCATAACTATTCACCCCCCCAAAGTCAATACTTTGTAGAGGCACCTTTTGCAGCAATAACAGCTGCAAGTCTCTTGGGGTATGTCTCTATAAGCTTGGCACATCTAGCCACTGGGATTTTTGCCCATTCTTCAAGGAAAAACTGCTCCAGCTCCTTCAAGTTGGATGGGTTCCGCTGGTGTACAGCAATCTTTAAGTCATACCACAGATTCTCAGTTGGATTGAGGTCTGGGCTTTGACTAGGCCATTCCAAGACATTTAAATGTTTCCCCTTAAACCACTCGAGTGTTGCGTTAGCAGTATGCTTAGGATCATTGTCCTGCTGGAAGGTGAACCGTCCCAGTCTTAAATCTCTGGAAGACTGAAACAGGTTTCCCTCAAGAATTTCCCTGTATTTAGCGCCATCCATCATTCCTTCAATTCTGACCAGTTTCCCAGTCCCTGCCGATGAAAAACATCCCCACAGCATGATGCTGCAACCACCATGCTTCACTGTGGGGATGGTGTTCTCGGGGTGATAAGAGGTGTTGGGTTTGCGCCAGACATAGCGTTTTCCTTGATGGCCAAAAAGCTCAATTTTAGTCTCATCTGACCAGAGTACCTTCTTCCGTATGTTTGGGGAGTCTCCCACATGCCTTTTGGTGAACACCAAACGTGTTTGCTTATTTTTTTCTTTAAGCAATGGCTTTTTTCTGGCCACTATTCCGTAAAGCCCAGCTCTGTGGAGTGTACGGCTTAAAGTGGTCCTATGGACAGATACTCCAATCTCCGCTGTGGAGCTTTGCAGCTCCTTCAGGGTTATCTTTGGTCTCTTTGTTGCCTCTCTGATTAATGCCCTCCTTACCTGGTCCGTGAGTTTTGGTGGGCGGCCCTCTCTTGGCAGGTTTGTTGTGGTGCCATATTCTTTCCATTTTTAAATAATGGATTTAACAGTGCTCCGTGGGATGTTGAAAGTTTCTGATATTTTTTCATAACCCAACCCTGATCTGTACTTCTCCGCAACTTTGTCCCTGACCTGTTTGGAGAGCTCCTTGGTCTTCAGGGTGCCGCTTGCTTGGTGGTGCCCCTTGCTTAGTGGTGTTGCAGACTCTGGGGCCTTTCAGAACAGGTGTATATATACTGAGATCATGTGACAGATCATGTGACACTTAGATTGCACACAGGTGGACTTTATTTAACTAATGATGCGACTTCTGAAGGTAATTGGTTGCACCAGATCTTATTTAGGGGCTTCATAGCAAAGGGGGTGAATACATATGCACGCACCACTTTTCCGTTATTTATTTGAAACAAGTCACTTCACCAATTTTGACTATTTTGTGTATGTCCATTAAATGAAATCCAAATAAAAATCTATTTAAATTACAGGTTGTAATACAGCAAAATAGGAAAAACGCAAAGGGGGATGAATACTTTTGCAAGGCACTGTATATCATTTTACATTTACATTTTAGTAATTTAGCAGACGCTCTTATCCAGTATAACTTACAGTTAGTCATTAGTATATTACAGTATAGCAACTTACAGTATATCCTGCCGCAGCATAACCAATATTCATCTGTGATGTGACCAAGAATCTCTAGAGGTTTGCAGAGTGAGAAATACTGTTATTAGCTATGGTCCTTGGTGTGTGTCAGTCTATTTACTCTAGGTGGTGCTGATGGCTAGTTAGTGAAAGGCTGCTCTGCACCCAAGACTGAGAAGCGGGCCATGATGAGGTAGTCCTGGGTCAAATACTGTACTGTGAAATACTTCAGCAGGACATATAATTTGCCTGGTACAATGGAGCTAATGGAATAGACCTAAAATTGCAAACTTCAAGCTAAATCATGTGCACCAGACTTTTGACCCAGGTCTGTCATGCAGCTCACAATCTGATTTCATGTCACCCTCTCTTGTTCTCCAAACACCAGCATCTTTAATTTGACATAGGCCTAGTTCAGAGGAGGCATCTACGCAGCCCTGCTTTATATATTTATGAAAAGCGTTTATTGCAGTGCCCCCACGTAGTCCTACTGGAATGTATCTGGCTGGCACAGGCTTGTCTTGCAGGATGTCTGGGACATCACATACAACACCACCCCTTTCGTGCCCTTGCTTGTCAGAGAACAAAATCTCCACTGACACAACACTATTTTCTTTCTTCCTCCATGTTAGTTACTTTTAATGAGTTAGCCAAATGTATCATTTTGTTTTAATCTGCAGACAACCAAAGATACTGGTGATATCGATATATTGCTGTCAATGGTTAATAAAAATGTATTATTACCCAAATTACTCTGTGACACTAAAATGACCATGAAATTGAGCATTTTCCTAAAATTGAGTATTTTTTTGTTTACCACGGTGGGTTCAATCTTACAGAGTGGGGCTGAAATGTCATCTGAAATTACCCTGCTGCATTGGAGTTTATCATCATTCATTGGACCTGGATAGTTGTGAGTTGAGACAATTCGGGCCTAACAATTAGCCTATACTAGTACACTCTAGACATTAGGCCTAGTTTAATCATTTAGGAAGGATAGCCTTATACAAAACACAGGCTGCTTTACATTCAGCTGTACGCCTCGGCTTCTGGGTATGCCATCGGAGTGGAGTTAACGATCTTAATAGCTGCAGGCTACAACATTTGCCTTGACTGCAAAGGCAGGGAGGAGTGTGTGCGCATCTGCCGTTTGTGTGTGCGAATGTATGTCAGTTTTTTGTGTGTTTGTGCATGTGATTGTGTGTATGGGTTGTGTACATGCGTGTGTGTGTGTGCTCCTGTCTGTCTCCAACTGTGTGTGTACAGGTAGAGGGAGAGTGTGTTGCTATTCTTCTGAGCCAGCTGCTACACATCCCCAGCTCTTACCCCTCTCCCCTCCCTTTTACTTTAGAGCTGACTGGCAAGACCAGTTTGTGTTTGATCGGGGAAACCGGCTCTTCCAGTTGTCCATGCCAACAAATTCTGGTATGATCCCAGCCAGGTCCCTGGGAATGCTCAAAACGCCCGGCCAGTCCCATGAAAGGCATATTGGGTTATCACTGGTGGTAGTTTAGTTGGTATAGCGTTGAGCAGCAGAGCATCATACTACTAGTATAGCCCAGTGTGGACACAGTTGTTCTCTGGTTCCTCTCTATGAAGTTTGGATCTGTTGGGTGGCTTTTGTTTGCATTGAGTATACTTTGACTGAAAGTTCTTTCTAGTGGGGTGAGTGAACAAGGCTCTTTCATTCAGTTTGATATAGGAGGAAGTTTTACCTGGTGAATGTCAATGATGACTGTTATCAGATTTAGTAGGTAGGATTAGGCTACAAAGTTAAATAGGCTAGTTTGTCATGTCTGTGCTCAATAATGGGGGGAAATATATTATTTGGCCTTAGTGATTGAATGATTGAATGATTATTATAAACCGGGTGGTTTGAGCCCTGAATGCTGATTGGCTGAAAGCCGTGGTATATCATACCACGGGTATGACCCAAAAATATGTATTACTGTTCTAATTACGTTGGTAACCTGTTTATAATAGCAATAAGTCATCTCGGGGGTTTGTGGTATATGGCCAATATACCACGGCTAAGGGCTGTATCCAGGCACTGCGTTGCGTCATGTATAAGAACAGCCCTTAGCTGTGGTATATTGGCCATATACCACAGCCCCTCGTGCCTTATTGCTAATTCTCCAATGGTGATTAAGCCAATCCTACTGTACCAGCTTGGGAAGAGAGAGGAAAGAGAAGTCAATGCAAGCTTGAACTCTGTGTGTGTGTGTGTGTGTGTGTGTGTGTGTGTGTGTGTGTGTGTGTGTGTGTGTGTGTGTGTGTGTGTGTGTGTGTGTGTGTGCGTGCGCGCACCGGCTTGCACTACTGTGTTTGTGCAGTATGTGTACTGGCTACTTTGCCATCAAAACTCGATTTACATTTTTGTTGAGGCCTAGGCTATATTTGACTGCCCTTTAGGATCAGATATGGTGATGAGATGAAAAGAGAGGACTATATGAGCATGCCCTGGAATGCAGTCACTTGTTAGTGTATACATAAGCAAAATACTGATTGTATTACCCATATCATATTTTACCGGTATTGTATCGTGTTTTGTTACAGGTATTGTAGTGGCCTTTCAGTGCAACCGTTTCCTCTAGTGGCGCTCATGAGTTAAAGAGGGTCCTCTCTTGACACATCTTACTCTCTGTTTTCTCTGTCTCTTTCCCTTCCTCTCGCAGATTTCCAGTTTTGGTGCTAGATGGAGTTGTGTATTGGCTGAGTGAAGCTACCAACCAGTGAGTGATTGGATGATGAGCAGTTCTGTGCTAAGTGGGAGCAGCCCCGGCTCCAGTGGGGTCTCGGAATCCACTGACCTCTTCAGGGACCTATGGGGTCGACTCAAAGAATGTCACGATAGTGCACTGCAAGGTAGGCCTACTGTCTACATGCCAGAGAATCTACACCAAAACAACTAAGACCAGTGGGCCATGTTTAATGCAACTATCAGTGTTAAAAGTACTTAATTCAACAAAATAAATCATTCAACAATCCCCTTTTCAAGCTCTTTTTTATCCTGTGTTTAGGTTTGCAAACCAAAGTGAACAAGCTAAAGAAGGAGCGATGTTTGTAAGTACAGTCATTTTAGTTGAACGTTGTGTTGATGATCAATTAATAGAATCTGAAACTTCATATTTTCTGACATTCAACATGCCATTCCAAAGAGTGTGATTACTGTTTTTTACGGCCCCACTTAAGTTGAGACTGTTCTCCATTTCCCCGTCAGTGTGTAAGGTTTCAAATGTCACTGAGCAAGTCAGTCTCACAAAGGCCTCTTTCACATTCTTACTTCAGTAGGACAGCATATTATTTGGGCCCTACTCATTTAGAAGAGTTCTGTGATGGGAATCCCAAAATATAATTCCTCTTGTACCCCAAGAATGCACATTCAAATACAGTACGTATGTACTCAAACAATCACTCAAATGTTTATTAATTCAAATGATTTAAAGCAATGTGTTCCTTACTTTTGTCCCCCCTCTCACCCTGTAGAGATGCCCAAAGACTGGAGGAGTTCTACAGTAGACACCAGCAGCTGAGGGAGCAGCACAAAACCCTGCAGGACACTGTCACAGTTCTGGAGGACAGGTTGGTACCCCATCAACCTGTCTGTCTGTCCCTGACTGTCTGTTTGTCTCCCTCTGACTTTTTCTCTATCTACCTGCTTATTTGAGCTGTTCTTGCCATAATATGGACTTGGTCTTTTACCAAATAGGGCTATCTTCTGTATACCCCCCTACCTTGTCACAACACAACTGATTAGCTCAAACGCATTAAGAAGGAAAGGAATTGCACAATTAACGTTTAAGAAGGCACACCTGTTAATTGAAATGCATTCCAGGTGACTACCTCATGAAGCTGGTTAAGAGAATGCCAAGAGTATGCAAAGCTGTCATCAAGGCAAAGGGTGGCTATTTGAAGAATCTCAAATATAACATATATTTTGATTTGTTTAACACTTTTTTGGTTACTACATGATTCCATATGTGTTATTTCATAGTTTTGATGTCTTCACTATTATTCTACAATGTCAAAAACCCTTGAATGAGTAGGTGTGTCCAAACTTTTGACTGGTAGTGTATATCTCTCTCTATCCTTTGGTTAATCTTTTGTCCTCTGTTTTTCTTCCTTCCCGTCTGTCTCTCTCCCTCTGTCCAGGCTGCGGGCAGGGCTGTGTGATCGCTGTTCCGTCACAGAGGAGCACATGAGGAAGAAGCAGGTGGAGTTTGAGAAAGGCCGTCAGCAGAACATACGCCTCATCGCAGAGATCAGTGAGTTGTACATCATTCCCTTCTCACTTACACGTACCCTACATTCTGTATCTGAGATTAATTTACCTCCACACTGGTCCCTCTTTTACACAGCACATACAGCTCCTAAGCTTTTGGCTACAGTAGGATATGATTATGACAAAGGATGGGGGCGGTCATCAGTCATTCACAAGGGAACTCTCTCCCTACCACCCCCATCTCTCTTTGTCCACTACACTCCTTCTTTCTCTGTAACAGGTTCCCTCATAGCTCTACACATCACACAATATAGCCTTTCTCTTTTTTAGCTAAGTCTGTGGGTAGTGGTTTGTGTGTGTGGGGGGGCAAGGAGAGTCTCTTTTTACATTGATGAAAAAGGAGAACCTGAATGATCTCTTTGTTTCCTATGTTATCTCCCAAATGTTACATTCCTACGTGCTCACAAAAGGGATGCAGTTCTTCCTCTATACCCCTAGTGCTCTGCAAATAAATGGACTAAGACCTATCATCGCTGTAGTAGGGCGATTCCACGCCAGGACAACTCGAAAGTATTTTAGGTATCTCAGATTGTTCTGGAAATGTTCATATAGAAACCTCATATGGAGGAAGGATGTTTGACATGCTTTTTACATTTGTATCATAAATAATGTTTGAGCAAAATCATGATGAAAGTGGCAATTTTAGGCCTATACTTGCCTCCTATAAGACCCTATGATCTGTGAACCGATACAGACAACATCTTGGTGTCATTATACTCCTTATAGTGTGTTCTCAAATACGGAGTATGTCTAGATTCTAAAATACACTTTTTTACATTAATTTATTCAACAATAAAAATATTAATTTGAATATCTCAAAAGTACCCTTTTTAATTCTGCGTGTTTTTAGCCATATTGTTTGGAACAATATACTCTTCAAACATGTCACATTTCCAGATTGGGCTCTCTGGTACTTTTGAAGATATGACCTGTTTATACATATACATTGACATTATAGGTTAACCAATTAACCAATCACAGCCCTACTTTAGGATTTATTGCACATTCAGCAGATCACCTGCAGAGGGAGTTCCCTTTGAATCCATTTTCCCATTCAGTGTGTTGCTTGTGCTCATAAAATGTATCATAACTTCAAAATTACCAAAGCCCACTCTGGAAATTTGATGTACTTGTTGAGTATATTGTTCCAAATAATGTCTTAAAATGAACAGAATCTAAAAGGGTACTTTTGAGATATTAATATTTTGACTGTTGAATCATTTAATGTAAATTGTTTTATTTCAGAATCTAGACATGCTCCATATGTTAGAGCACACTATAAGGAGTATAATGACACCAAGATGTTGTCTGTATTATGTGTGGTTCACAGATCATCAGGTCTTACAGGAGGCATGTATATGTCTAAAAAGGCCTAAAATGGCAACTTTCATCATGATAAAAAAAAAAAAGTGATACAAATATAAAAACCATGTCAAACATCCTTCCTCCCAAATTAAGTTTCTATGTGAAAATTGCCAGAACAATCGGAGATACCAAAAATAGCTAAAATGTAATTTGCATAAATATTCACACCCCTTTGTTATGACACTCCAAATTGAGCTCAGGTGTATCCAATTTCCTTTGATCATCCTTAAGATGTCGCTACAACTTGATTGGAGTCCACCTGTGGCCAATTAAATTGTTTAGGCATGAATTAGAAAGAAACACATCTGTCTATATAAGGTCCCACAGTTGACAGTGCATGTCAGAGCAGAAACTATACCATGAAGTCCAAGGAACTGGACGTAGATCTCCAAGATATAATTGTGATGAGGCATATATCTGGGGAAGGGTATAAAACAATTTCTAGAGTGTTAAAAGTTTCCAAGAGCACATTGAGAAATTGAAAAAATATGGAACTACCCAGACTCTGCCTAGAGCTGGCCGTCCGACCAAACTGAGCAACCGGGCAAGAAGGACCTTGGTCGGGGAGGTGACCAAGAACCCAATGACCACCCTGACAGAACTACAGAGTTCCTTGGCTGAGATGGGAGAATCTGCCAGAAGGACAACAGTCTCTACAGCACTTCACCAATTTGGGCTTTATGGGAGAGTGGCCAGACAGAAGCTACTCCTGAGAAAAGGGCACATGACGGCACACCTGGAGTTTGCAAAAAGGCATGAGAAAGATTGAGCGCATAAGTCAAAAGTTTCTGTGGTCTGATGAGACAAAAAAACTATTTGGCCTGAATGCAAATTGAACTCTTTGGCCTGGAGAAAACCAGGCACAGTTCATCACCCATCTAACACCATCCCTACCGTGAAGCATGGTGGTGGCAGCAGCATGCTATGGGGATGCTTTTCAGTGTCAGGGACTGGGAGACTGGTAAGGATAGAGGGAACAATTAATGGAGCCTAATGCAGGCAAATCCTTAATAAGAACCTGCTTCAGCGGGCAAACGACCTGGGGGCGAAGATTTACGTTCCAACAGGATATGTACTGCAAGCATACTGCCAAAGCAACTCTGGACTGGCTTCAGAACAAAAATGTGAAGGTCGTTGAGTGGCCCAGCCAAATCCCATTAAATCTGTGGAAAGACTTGAAGATAGTGGTTCACTGCTGCTTCCCATCTAACTTAACAGAGCTTGAGGAAATATGCAAGGAAGAATGGGAGAAAATGCTCAAATCCAGATGTGCAAAGCTGATGCAGACATACCCAAGACGATAAAGCTGTAATCGCCGCCAAAGGTCCTTCTACAAAATATTGACTCAGGGGTTTGAATACTTATGTAAATTAGATATTTCTGTATTTCATTTTCAATAGATTTGCTAAGATTTCTAAAAACATGTTTTTACTTTGTCATTATGGGGTATTTTGTGTGTGTGTGTGTGTGTATGGGTGAGGAAAATAAATATTTAATACATTTTGAATGGAATAAGTCAAGGGGTATGAATACTTTCTGAAGGCACTGTATATGTGGTTTCATGTGACTTCCAGTGACAGAGAGGAACAGCCTGCAGGATGAGAACAGAAAGCTGAGTCTTGAGTTGGATAGGCTGAATGGATCTCTGTGAGTTAAAACCATCCTCATCCGCCTCACATTGGCACATACAGTACTTTTGTAACCAGGATTGTTGAATCTAAAACAATATTCTTCTTGCACAGCGAGAAAGCATTGTTTGAATTAGGGAGTTCTCACTTTGAGCTTAATACAGTATATTATTATTTCAGGATATTATTAATACTTTCTATTATTAATACGGTATGTTACGCTTCAACGCCCATTGTATTTCTGTGGTGTGTCTGTATGTTTGGTTTCCAGCTCAGCGTCTCCTGAGCCAGAGGGAGCGGTGATCTCAGACTCTCCACTGCAGCAGATCTCCCTGCCTGTGGTCAGCAAGATGAGGAAGGAGACCCACCATGTCTGCTACGCCGAGAAGTCCCTGTCTCAGTCCGAGAGCTCAGCGCTCCACGGTCAGTCTGCTTCATACAAAGAAATACATAAATGTAAATGGCCTAACCCCCAGAGAAAGGGTCCCTTCCTGGGCTGCCCCAGCACCACCATCACTGAGGACGGCCCCCCGTCCATCCTTCCCCGCCTGAAGCTCAGCCCCGCCAACGCCCATCAGTGCCACCAGGAGGGGATAGCCCGCGTCGCACCACTTAGAGCCACCTCCACCCCATGTGGCCTCTCTCACCGAGAGCTGGAGAGAGGGAAGAGGAGGAGGAAAAGCGGTGAGAAGGAGGAAGATGAGGAAGTGGTTGACAAGCCTCTGGACCTTTCCGACTCCCCACAGAAAGCCCTGGTGCCTCCGCTCAATGCCCAGAGAGGTAGCAGCATCCCTGGGGCAGAGAACCAAGACAGAGGCCAAAAGCATCACATCCTATTTAAGCATCCCTCCACCTCTCCAAGTGATGAACAATCCAAAAATGTGTCGCTTAGTCACCAGGTAGAGCCATGATTTTTCACAACAAATTACACAAGAGGTTGTACAGGTACATTCATCACATTCAAGCCTTGTTATAGATGGGTTAATCTTGGAAAACCAGAACAAAAATCCTGATAAATCCAAATCACCAGAACTTTTTTGTTGTTTATTTGATCATTTTAAAACTAGGTACACATTATTATACACTTGATTTAAGAATCATCACAGAAAAGTACACAACTTATTTCCATTGTGACCCTCAAAAAAAAATGGCAGGTCAATTTGGTTATGTTCCTCGTTAGTCGTTACGTAGTCTGTCTATATATTATAGATGGGTAGATCAAGAGCTCTTTTTCTTTGAAACGTTCACCCGTCTTATGCATCAACATACTGCTGTACCAGAGTAGCCAAAGTCACCCGTCTTCCTATTTGTCCATTAGACCCACAATGTCCACCACGAGCCAATCAGAAAGCGGAGTCGGGAGGATACTGAGAATCTGAAGCAGACCTCTGTCCTGCAGGCCAACCCCTGTGCTCGTGTGAAGAGGAGCCCTCCGCAGGACAACAACGGTACTGCATCAACAACGCTGCCCTCCGATGCCCCTGAAACGCCACTGGGAAAAGGTATTGCGTTCTGACTTTACATGATGATCATTCATTTATACTGAAATTATGATTTTATTTAGATTGACTGGCCCTTAAGCATAGACTAAGCAAGTAATTTGAATAGAAATGTCATAATGTTTCATTTCCTACCTTTTTGTTTAGCCAAGCTGATGCCAGCAGAGCAGACGTGGAGTCTGGACCCAGAGTCAGCCCTCTCCCAGTATGATGTAGACACCCCTACTCCAGCAGAGGTATGACATTCACCAAATTCATCTGCTACTGTCCTATACGCTTTGTTGCCGTTCCTGATGTGTATACTTGCAGTTCTTCACGTGTGTGTGTGTGTGTGTAGCCCCTCTGTGAAGGCGAGACTGTTGATATGGACTGCACCTTCGTCAGCCACAGCCTGCTTCTCCGAGGAGCTCCAAGAACCAGCTCTGTTACTGGTACAGCTTACTACATTTTCACACAAAATGTTTGATACATTCCCAATCATTTTAATTTAATCAAATACAGCAAAGAGGAGATCACTTCAGTGATGGGAGGACCCATATAAACAAACCAACCATGTAACCAGACTCAAACCCTTCTTTTAGGGATTGGTCAGAGGGCCAACGACCGCTTGGCTGAGATATTCGACAGAACAGGCTACGAGGAGTACGAGTCGTGTCCTCAGCATGACGGCTCATATCTGGACAAAGAGGAGCCCCATCATGGGGAGGAAGGACATAAGGATGGTAAGGATTTGACACTGTAGTTTCTCTATCTTGGCTACTTGTTTCCTTTATTTGACCGGGCAAATTGGTTGGGAATGACCAAAATGACCTGGTCAAGTAGTATAACACTTGAGATTAATTTGGAATTTGCGCATTCATTGTTAATTATTTATATCAATATTTTAAACTGTCAATTTTATTGTCCTCATTAAAAGCACACATGCCTCAACCTGGAACGCCCAATGGAGAACACAAAGACAGGTGAGATCATAATCGTCAGACTAACCTAGAACACTGTCATGCTAGGAAAGATTTCTAAAAGGTTTCTTTCCCTCGTTGTGTCCTGTAGTAAAAACCTATCGTTTGCACACGTGGAGGTGGTCCGCAAGAAAGCTGAGAGGAGGAAACTCAAGGGGCACACATGTAAAGAGTGTGAAATCGTGAGTTGACTCAACCGTGTTTTGATGTGTGGAGCTGAAAGTGCCTGTCCATGGTCATGTTGATTACATTTTAGTCATTTAGCAGACACTCTTATCCAGAGCGACTTACAGTAGCATACATTTTCGTACTGGTCCCCCGTGGGAATCGAACCCACAACCCTGGCGTTGCAAGCACCATGCTCTACCAACTGAGCCACATGGGACCATTAGGCACCAAACTGAATAAATGTGTTTTCCTTTTAAAAACATTTTTAAACTGTTTGCCCTATTGAACACAACCCATGATGTGTGTCATTGCGCTAACATATCTATTCCATCTTATCTCACTTAGTACTATGCTGACCTTCCAGAGGCAGAGAGGGTGAAGAAGTTGTCAGCCTGTTCTCGGCACCGCTTCCGTTATCTTCCTCCATCAACCCCAGAGAACTTTTGGGAAGTCGGCTTCCCTTCAACACAAACCTGTGTGGACAGAGGTATGCTACCCTATTCAATTGGATCCATTCAACAGGACGCATGGTCATCAAATCCATAGTAGTTAATACTGTAGTCAATGATGATTATCTTTTCTACACAGAAAATCATACACACTTGCCTGATGATCTTCCCTGATGTTTTCCTAAACTTCCCAATATCTCTCTGGTGCATTTTAGTCACGTCAAACCTTCATACTTCCTTCAGACTGAAATACTGACTTGTAATAGACTGTCATAGAATGCCCCAAGTAGAAAAGTAAACACTGGCTGGTGATTATCACTTTTTTCACACTGTGGGGTCGTGAGAATTTTCTGATATCAAAATGGGGTCGTGGGCCAAAAAGGTTTAGGAAGCCCTGTATTCATTAATTATGACGTCTAAGCACTGAATTTACAGATGTATTCTTTGAGGAGTGCATTGCTTTTATCTCAGACTTCACTATGGGGCGTTTCCCCCTTTGCTTCTGTTCAGATGTATTCTTAGACGTCGAACTCCACTTAATGAGTTTAACAACATTGTGCTTCTTGTTTGTCCTACCAGGTTATATAAAAGAAGATAATGATCCAGAGCAGCGCTTAAGGAGGAGGAGACCTTACAATGCCATGTTCTCACCCAAAGGCAAAGAGCAGAAGACTTGAACCAGTAGGGGAAAATAAATACCCAATCAAACAAAACTGTATAAAATGTTCATTGGCACACTGCCAGTATCATAATCCTAGTGCCTCACAAAGGAATAGGTGTGCCTTTAGTGGTGTATATACACCCAGACATATTGCAGGTTCTTATAATTGTTTAAACACAATTAAATGGACTATGTCAGGTCTACAGAGTATTCCAATGTCCTCAAGAAATGAATACAGAATATGCAGCAAAAACCTCTGCTCAGTTAATTATTATTTGAAACTAATATGCACCGTTGACCACTACTCTTAGCACCTTCTTTCCTATCTAGAACATTAAAGGGCTCTTTGGCTGTCCCCAAAGGAGAACCCTTTGAAGAACCCTTTTGGGTTCCATGGAGAAGCGTTTCTACCTGGAACCAAAAAGGGTTCTCCAATGGCGACAGCCAAGGAACCCTTTTTTTTTTTCAGTGTATTTTAATTTGGTGTATTTGTAGATAATGCTTTTTTTAAGTAGGTGTTTCATGTTACTCACCTTAAAAGTATGACATCCTAGGAAATTGTATTTAACAGTTTAAAAATAAGCAAATACTTTCATGGAAATATATAGAATCTTTATTTCTGCTTTACAGCAAGTTGTAAAAGAGAAATAATCTCAATTGAAGCATACATTCTTGTGCTATTTGCTATGGGAAATTGAGTGTAATAAACTTGTTGACACAGTCAATGAGGTAGAAGTAGTTTCTTTCGCATAGGTCTCATTGCACTTGGGAAGTACTTTCAGAGTACACCAGCAGGGCTTCTCCAACATGGCTGAAGAAGACACTAAGGAGCAAACCAAGACAAAATCACTGAAGTAAATAGTATACCTAAAAAATAGTAACATTACAAACTTCACACACCATGATCACCAAACTTGATATAGGCTTGAAATTAGCAGACTATAAAATATATTCTCCAGGGAATATCATCAGCTGCTATTTGTCTTGAATGTAAAACTGGTGACTGAATATATAGACATTATTTTACACAGGTAGAGAGAACTCACCAGCAGAAAGATGGCATGTTAACTTCAATGTTGAAAACAAGTGGGGATAGGCATGTGGCAAACACCTAGACAGGGTAGAGCAAGAAATTGATATGTAACTTGCACATCCACTGTCCCTGAAGGAAGTCTAAAACAGTTAATTTACTATTTAACTGTCAGTTTTATGACAATCATTTACTAAGCCATTTATAAAGTAATTGGCAGAAAACCAGCTGTAAAAACCCAATAATAGCTCATACAGTTCTCTGTACAGGGGAGATAGTGGTAGACGGTAAAAAATAAAGAAAATAATTTATTGGGAAATAAAGATCTGTTCACCGCTGATCATTGTAAGAAAGTTAAACACTGACCCTGCTTGTAGTTGGTCTGACTTTCATTACCTTGGACAAAAAGATCCAGACCCCGCAGTGCTCAAGGGGTAAACCACTCTTTAGTTTGACTGATGCCAACAGCAAGAAAAAACCCAACAAGGCACTGTGGAAGATAAGTGTTTAAGTTACTACAGTGTATAATGCCAAAAGTGTATGTTTTAAAGATTTGGAAACCCTGTTAGCAAGATGATTTTATGAGATTGCTTTTAACATGCTCAACTAGACATCTGAGCTCAATTCTTTACCTGGCACAACAGCCACTGTGGAATCTTGGGGACAGGAGGAAAGGGAATTCCAAGGCACCGAATAGGTCACCTAGAGGGAATAAGTCAGCAAAGATAAACCCAGTCATCAAAACATTCACAAAATAGATTACGTTCTTCTCCAAACAGGAAATGGGGAGAGAGATGTCAAATCAGCACCTGACCATGATTTAAAATCAGTGTAACATTGGGACAACTGCATTGAAATAGCAAACAGCTGTTCATATAGCTACAGAAAACTATTTGATCGATTGGTTGAATGATTGGTGGGGAAGAAACAGTCCCAAGGTCTTACCAGTAGGGTGCGCAGCGAAGGCTAGCAGCAACACACTAGTTTGAAGATTAATAACAATTAGAGCTTACATTAATTCAATCGATCAGTTTAATGACAAATGATTGAAGAGTGCACTGCACATACACAAAATGACAGACACACAAATGGACACACATCTCAAGCGAACTATGAAAGGACAGAAAAAAAAACCTCAAACTTATCAACTCGGTGACAGCAATTAGTGACAATAACTTGATTGCCCCTGGTAGTCTACTGAAGATATAGGTTGTAACATTATTTTAACTTTTTACAGTCAATTTAAAAATGCTGTGGACAATTATGCAGTGATTAGGCAATTAACACTTTTTTGGGTCAAAGTATTTCCCTCTTACCTGAACAAATAGTTGATGTATTGTTGTTCAAGGTCACTAATATAGATCATAAAAACAAACATGTTTCATTGTATTCACAACAGGAAACTAGTTTTTCAATCCTTTTGCTAACACAAGGGATGCCCAAATTATAGCTTACCTCAAATGACTGGACTTGAAGTGTGTCTTGAACACTCTATAGGCACCTGAAATTGATATATTTATGTATTAATATCGTGTTGCTAAGAGCTTTCAGCGAATAATTTATATGCTATACACTATAAATACATAACACAATCCCACAGCTAGTTTTATTCCAGACAGACTTGCCAACACAGAAGATATGTGCCAAGGCCCACATGTAACCACCAGGGTCAAACTGAGGGTCATAGACGGGGAGGTTGATGGCCGACATCAACAGCAGACTCACACTAGAAAGAAAGCCAATAGCTCACAATTCCATAGGTCTTCAAGGACAATCAGTGGTTATCTTCCAACAGCTTACCCAATAGCAATTGGATGAGGAATAATATAGAGTATTAAAGGGAAAGTTAACCTAAAATCCAACTTTTCCCAAGTGACTCCATACATTGAAACTAGTTAAGTGGAGTTTGCCTTCTCCCCCTCTCTCCCTGCAGTCTAGAACTGGAAAGCTGCAAAAACGGGTCACGTGGCTGGTGACGTGTCTGTGCTCTGCTTCGTTGTCAGTCAAAGAGCGATTGAGAAATCCAATAATTGTGGACAATTTCTTTTTTTTATTGAAAGTGTATGACCGAATTAGTTATTTTTATCAAAAGTCCTATCGGTTTTGAGTCAGGAAATGTGTACTTTTCCACCTATAACGATTAAGATTATTTTATATCATTATTTTATGTGGCAGACTGCAACAACAGCAGAGATGGGTAACAACTGTGCATGTGCGCCCTCGTGGGGCCAACTGACGTATACAGTGCATTCGGAAAGTATTCAGACCCCTTGATTTTTCCCCACATTGTTACATTACAGCCCTATTCTAAAATTGATTAAATTATTTTTTCCCCCTCAATCTACACACAATACCCCATAATGACAAAGCGAAATCAGGTTTAGAAATGTTTGTAAATGTAATACAAATTAAAAACAGAAATACCTTATTTACATAAGTATTCAGACCCTTTGCTACGATACTTGAAATTGAGCTCAGATGCATCCTGTTTCCATTGATCATCCTTGGGATGTTTCTACAATTGGATTAGAGGCCACCTGTGGTAAATTCAATTGATTGGACATGATTTGGAAAGGCACACACCTGTCTATTTAAGGTCCCACAGTTGACAGTACATGTCAAAGCAAAAACCAAGCCATGAGGTCGAAGGAATTGTGTCGAGGCACAGATCTGGGGAAGGGGACCAAAAAATGTCTGCAGCATTGAAGGTCCCCAAGAAGACAGTGGCCTCCATCATTCTTAAATGGAAGAAATTTGGAACCAGCAAGACTCTTCCTAGAGCTGGCCGCCCGGCCAAACTGAGCTATCAGGGGAGAAGAGCCTTGGTCAAGGAGGTGACCAAGAACCCGATGGTCATTCTGACAGAGCTCCAGAGTTCCTCTGTGGAGATGGGAGAACCTTCCAGAAGGATAACCATCTCTGCAGCACTCCACCAATCAGGTCTTTATGGTAGAGTGGCCAGACGGAAGCCACTCCTCAGTAAAAGGAACATGACAGCCCGCTTGGAGTTTGCCAAAAGGCACCTAAAGGACTCTGACCATGAGAAACAAGATTCTCTGGTCTGATGAAACCAAGATTGAACTCTTTGGCCTGAAAGTGTCACATCTGGAGGAAACCTGGCACCATCCCTACGGTGAAGCATGGTGGTGGCAGCATCATGCTGTGGGGATGTTTTTCAGCAGCAGGGACTGGGAGACTAGTCAGGATCGAGGGAAAGATGAACGGCGCAAAGTACAGAGAGATCCTTGATGAAAACCTGCTCCAGACTGCTCAGGACCTCAGACTGGGGCGGAGGTTTACCTTCCAACAGGACAACGACCCTAAGCACACAGCCAAGACAATGCAGGAGTGGCTTCGGGACAAGTCTCAATGTCCTTGAGTGGCCCAGCCAGAGGCCGGACTTGAACCCAATCTAACATCTCTGGAGAGACCTGAAAATAGCTGTGCAGCGACACTCCCCATCCAACCTGACAGATCTTGAGAGGATCTGCAGAGAAGAATGGGAGAAACTCCCCAAATACAGGTGTGCCAAGCTTGTAGCGTCATACCCAAGAAGACTTGAGGCTGTAGTCGCTGCCAAGGGTGCTTCAACAAAGTACTGAGAAAGTTGAAATACTTATCACAGGTAGCGTAAAGTTGGTTCTGAAAAGTGGAAATCCAAAGAGATGGCAGTAAGAGTAAGCTGGTGTTCAGTCCCTGGCTGCACTTTATATAAGAAATCTAGGGAATGCACAAAATGTCACTGTGTTCCGTTGAAAGATACAGACAGATGCAGAAGATGGCTTGTAGCGATAAAAAACAGGAAATAAAATGTAAACACTCCTACAGTCAATCTTGCAAATCTACATGTGTGTAGTAAGCACTTCTTCGATGTCTACAAAAGAGATATACAATTGGAAACAAATCACAGAAAACTCACACAGCTGTACCTTTTGTATTTCCATGGACTGGATCTGGTGCTATGCCAAAATAGGCGCTTTTGAGAAGAGAAAGCGAGCCTTCGGAGGTATGTAGTCTAATCATTGCAGTTGAGTTGATCTTATTGTGTTGTAGCCTAGGCGCTCTACCGGTTAGCATATGTTGAGGAGATAATAGACTGTAATTGTGTCATCTTACATTGCAGAATAAAAATTAAAGCTGTTGCATTTTAATTACTTAGGATCGGGTCTACTCGCTTGTTTTCATAATCTCCAATATCTGATGTGTTGGCTAGCCATGGTTAATTTGCATCACAACATTTCATGCGTTTAACAACTGTATAGCCTTGCGTGAAATACATGGCCCCAGGAACCACCAGGGGTAGGACTATTTGGTTGCATGTAGTCTGGTCTATTGTGTATTCGTAACCCCCACCTCCCCCTATCAATAGTGGCCATGAGTATCCTACCAATATAATTACTTTTAGCCCCTGGCCATAAAATATGTATTACCAATTATAAATATCGGCGCCCCTCCAAGTAGTTTCTTCATCACTCGTGAGTATTTAGTCGTCAGACCTGTCTATAGGTTGTTGTTTACTTCGTAATGCTAGGCTACTGTCTTCACTTCTCACCCAAAATGTTTTTGTATCTGTGATTGTGAATAAGGGCCTTAATCTAATCTATGCCATTTAGCAGACACTTTTATCGAAAGTGACTTACAGTCATGCGTGCATACATTTTACGTATGGCTGGCCCTGGGAATTGAACCCACTATCATGCCGTTGCAAGCACCATGCTCTACCAACAGAGCTATAGAGGAGTTTTTACGTAAAGGGATTCCCCCACGAGAGCGCAGTTCTTACTCATCTCCGCTGTTGTTGCAGTCAGCCACATAAAATAATCATTTTAGTTGGAAAAGTACACATTTCCTGTCTCAGAATCTATAGTACTTTTGAAAAAATTGCTAATTCGGCCTTACACTTTCAATAAAACAAAAAATGTGTCCATAATTCGCGGATTTCTCAATCAATTTGACTGACAACGGAGCAGATTTAGCAGTGCACAAAGACACATCACCAACCATGTGACCCGTTTTTGCAGATTTCCAGTTCTAGGCTGCAGGGAGAGAGAGGAGGAGAGGGCAAACTCCAACTAACTAGTTTCAATGTATGGAATCGCTTGGGGAATTTATTATTTTAGGGAAACTTCCCCTTTAAAGTCAATAAAACCAATTCAAATCTTGTTTTGAAAACTTACTAGCTGCTTTTTCTGTTAGACACTACTGAATATTGACGTTTTTGTTATTATACTAACGATAAGAAGACTTGGAACAAACCTTAAAAGCTTCATCCATGGAATTCGCTGTTGAAAAAATTAAATACATACAGTACCAGTCAAAAGTTGACACACCTACTCATTCAAGGGTTTTTCTTTATTTTTACTATTTTCTACATTGTAGAATAATAGTGAAGACATAACAACTATGAAATAACACATATGGAATCATGTTGTAACCAAAAACGTGTTAAACAAATAAAAATATATTTTATGTTTGAGATTCTTCAAATAACCACCCTATGCCTTGATGACAGCTTTGCACACTCTTGGCATTCTCTCAATCAGCTTCACCTAGAATGCTTTTCCAACAGTCTTGAAGGAGTTCCCACATACGCTGAGCACTTGTTGGCCACTTTTCCTTAACTCTGCAGTCCAACTCATCCCAAACCATCTCAAATTGGGTTGAGGTTGGGGGATTGTGGAGACCAGGTCATCTGATACAGCACTCCATCACTCTCCTTCTTGGTCAAATAGCCCTTACACAGCCTGGAGGTGTGTTGTGTCATTGTCCTGTTGAAAAACAAATTATAGTCCCACTAAGCCCAAACCAGATGGGATGGCGTATCACTGCAGAATGCTGTGGTAGCCATGCTGGTTAACTGTGCCTTGGAATTCTAAATAAATCACAGACAGTGTCACAAGCAAAGCACCCCCACACCATAACACCTCCTCCATGCTTTACGGTGGGAACTACACATGCGGAAATCATCCGTTCACCCACACCACGTCTCACAAAGACACAGTGGTTGGAACCAAGAATCTCCAATTTGGACTCCAGACCAAAGGACAAATTTCCACCGGTCTAATGTCCATTGCTCGTGTTTCTTGGCCCAAGCGGGTCTCTTCTAATTATTGGTGTCCTTTAGTAGTGGTTTCTTTGCAGCAATTTGACCATGAAGGCCTGATTCACACAGTCCCCTCTGAACAGTTGATGTTGAGATGTGTCTGTGACTTGAACTCTGTGAAGCATATATTTGGGCTGCAATTTCTGAGGCTGGTAACTCTAATGAACTTATCCTCTGCAGCAGAGGTAACTCTGGGTCTTCCATTCCTGTGGCGGTCCTCATGAGAGCCAGTTTCATCATAGCGCTTGATGGTTTTTGCGACTGCACTTGAAGAA